TAAATAGAATAGAATAGAATAGAATAGAATAGAATAGTGCTTTATTGACACCGTAAAGAAAATATTACATTTCTTTTTTGGTTATGTACATCAATGAAGTTGAAAAATCGAAATGAAAAATTGTAATGTAAATTGAAAACATAGTAATGTATTAAGTAAAAAATATAAATATATGTACGAGCTAATATATATATTTATATTATATGCGTGTATGTATATGCTCTCGTTTCTTATTAAAGTTTTCAAATTACACATACAGACAACTGATTAAGAAACGCGACAAGCGCCTGTGCCCGGGTCAGTAGGGCTGACAAATTTGTGGAGGGACTGTGGTCAGGGATAAGGGATATGTCGATAGGTCGGCGTCGTTGCAAGTGCGCCACCAAGTGTCGGATTTCTTTTTCGGTGCATTACTGGAAGAAAATCGGTGTTGACCTGATGTTCGTCCGTGTCAGTCAAATACATGATTATGTGGCACAAATAACGCTTTATTGCAATATATTTTGACTTGTATGTAGCAACATCTCAGCTCATCGTAAAATGTCAATCGTGCAAGCTACGAAGATCATCTCCGGTCGTTGTTTGATGTCATGTTTTGGTCGTGTCGTCAGTTCGCCACCGATCAAACGAAACAAGTCAGGATCGACGGCTGTTGACACGGTAACAGAAAGCAGTCTATTCACAGAGGACCATTCACAGCTCAAAAGCGCACTGAATAAGGTGAGAGACATATTCACATTTGCCATGATTCTGTTGGTAAAATACGGGGGGGGGGGTGCATTTACGGCCAAGCCAGTAACACAAACTGTGTAAAGTAAGATAAACACACAGTCCCTCTGTCACGTGATAAATGGACTGTGGTCAATACAAGGTTGTTGACCCTTGGACGTCTACACACCTATTGCCTATTAGAGGGATCGGGGCCAGCATTGTATCAATCCCAGGTTGTACTAAACACGTCCTTGGAGCAAAATACGGAACTGTAGTGTTTGAAAATGGTTAAAGTGGGAGGGTCGTCACCTGCGTACGCGCAGGAATTGAGTCCCAAAAGACGATAACAACACATCCTGAAAATGCAAAGGCATGGGTAGGCGCTTGTTTGTAAACAATGACTTGCTATAGCCATCTGACGCATGCGCAGGTGACAACTCCCTGGCTTTAAACACAAGCCACAATTTGGCAATTACATGTTACAGCAGGAAAAATTACATTTTCAGTTCATAATGACATAATTGTGTTTTTACTTTTAACGACTGAGTTCCTGATCTGTATGATGGAAGGAATGTGTCTTGATGTAAAGCTGGCTCTCAACTGATTTTGCTATTTCATAAAAAAGTTTTTAAAGTTAGTATCCATGTCATCAATAATTTTTACTTTACGTATTTGTCTATATTATTATTATACATCTGTCACCGTAACGTCATGTGTTACAGCATACCGTAATTTTGCGATATTTTACAGGATATTCACATCCTTCCATTTAAGGAATTGCGAATTCCAAATATGGAATGATTACGCGTGTAAGCGTCCTCTAATAATAAAAACAAACATGGCTGCCACCAGGTTTTGACCGGACTTCACATAAAAAGAAGAAGTTCACTGATTCTGTTATAAACTTTTTGGATTTTGGCATTCCCATGATGTATCCTCGGAAGAAAAAGATGTATAATAATAAGGTTATTATGAGAATCCCTCAAAGTATGCACTCAGACAGAATGCAGTAGCATCGACGTCCGCCCCGTGACGGTTGATACTCCAGCTGTACTGTATTCGTGCATACTTTGCGGTATCCTCGTAATAACCTCATAGTAATATGAGACATTTATGCAGATTACTGTGTGCAATGTAGACATCCTGTGGTTTTGAGAGCATGCTTCGAACCAACTTAAAGCCAGCTGAGTTTTAAATTACAGGCAGGGATTGCGTTAACCCCATATTTTGCTTCCCGGACTCCAATTAATTAAGAGGGACCCAGTTTTTCAGGCAAGCTGGGGTCCAATGTCTAATAAATTGATCCAGGGTCATATATCAATTTCTTAAATTTTTTTAAATGGGACTCTGTTTAATTATTACACTTGGACTGTACCTTTATAATATTTGCTAAACACAACAACTGGTTGTATCCCCTGTCAGATCATACCAATGCTCCCAGTTCACATTGATTGCCGAGGTAACCAACCAGCGAATTCTTTTATTCCATCATTACTCTATGACAAATTTCTTCCAATTTCTTGCCAGTTAATAGAGAAAGAAATCAATCCCTATGTAGACCAGTGGGAGGCAGATCATCGATTTCCGGCGCATGAAGTCTTCAAAAAACTTGGCAATGCTGGATTCCTTGGCGTCAACAAACCAACAGGTAGTGAGCACTATGCTAATGTTTTTTTCTCAGAAAACATAACACAATGTTAAAAAATCAATATGGCAGTTTTTAGCTCTGTTATCGACTTTGTCGAGCGGAGCTTATCATATGAGTGATTGTCCGTCATCCGTGTCAATGTTTTACTTTTTCGACTTCTTCTTGAAAACTACAAGCCTGAATGTTTTGATACTTGGTGTATATGTACCTTGGATAGACCTCTCTTAGATTTTCGTAATGATATCTTTAATTCTCTAATTTTGATGAATATTTTTATCGTTTTTGGTAAAAAGTGATATTTACGACTTCTTGTTGAAAATTGCAAGTCCAATTGCTTTGAATATTACATACCTAGGTACGACATGTGGACCTTTTTCAGATTTGTTCATTTCGTGATGATATCTTTAATTC